ATATTATATTAAATACTTTTAATACCTCACGCTCTTCAATCCTTTCTGCCAAAGCTTTCTTTGGCTTTGGTTTGGCCTTAGGTAATTCTGCAGGTTTCTCTACTTCTTTCTTCTCTACTTCTTTCTTCTCTTCTTCGACATCTTCCCAACTATCCTGTTGAATGAATTCTTTTTATAAAAATAGTAAGCACATACAGAATATTTTTAGTCGCCAAAACTTCTGAAGTCCAGTGCTGATAGGAAAATATATTCCAAGCATTTGTATGTAACTAATCGATTAAAATTTGTATCAATTAAACTTTAAACCAATATTATTTCACTTCAAATATGAATACAATTATTCCCACGCACAATTCTATCAGTTGTTAAATTTAATATTTACACTGACTCAAATTTTAAATTCATTTACTTTGGTATCCACCTTATTCTTTCTCAATTGAAAATTATTAATCATGTATTATTAAATTCTAATAAAATTTTTAATTCCTTGTTTAAATGTTAATTCGAATTTTCGATTCACTTCCGTTCACAGCGAACTTCAAATCTGTTCGCCAATAATTAACTGTCGTACTACTGGTCTCGTGTTAATCGACAGCATGCAAGGTTAACCACACTTATGAACGACTGGTTGTCTAACGAAATTTCGACAATGTGTTATTTTAACCATATTAGAAAATCGTTAAAATAGAACCTTGACGTCTTCCTCTTCATCTTCGCCCTCCCACTTGTTGGATGTGATGGCTAGGTCGAATTTCCCCTCAGCGTCTACGACATCTGCAATGTTGAAGGTTAAAATCATTTCGTTGCCTTGAATCGAAGTATGGTGATGCATTAGGCAAGACACTCGTATATCGATCTTTTCATACCCCATTCGTCATCCATGATGAATCTTTAATTATTTACGGACGATTTCGTTTGTAAATGAAAGAAAACCTCTTTGAGCGAACGTGGTTGAACAGATTGCGACTGGAATCGAGCGGGCCATACTGCGCGAGGAAAACGTGTGAGTGTGCCTTTCCTACAAGGTAGTGGTGGTGCAACTCAAATCACATGTTTTATAGATTGAACACTCTATATATAAAAGCAACATCATAGACGACGATTGCGTAAAGGCTTCATACTATATAGTTAAAGTGGACAAGTAGGAAATTGGCAAGATGAAAATAAATAGTTGACGAAAATGCAGACTAAATTTTTGTTATACGAACAAGTTTTTTATTTCAGAAAGTACCAATTTTCTGCCACTTAATTTATTTTTGCTTTATTCATAATAAGTTAAACAATTTGAAAATTATTTAAAATTGAATATTAAAACCATTTTTTATGATGTCATGTTCCAAATATTATAGTATCGGCAATTTTTTTTTATATATATGTACAACATGAAAACGATGTTGATGCGCCATTATATTACAGATGCATAGAATACATAGCTACAGAAACATTTTTTGCCACATGTAAAACTTTGTGGCTTTTACTGTGAACAAAAGTCAAGTAAAGTAAACGCATTGCGCAATTAGAAAATATTGAAACAATAGCTAGTTATCGAAAATCAAATAATTCAATACTTATTTTGCGCATTGTTTGATTTACAGATTATATATCATTGTAAATATTTACGTCAGTTAGTAGTAATAACCTATTTAACGTTATTAATGAATTATACAGGGCATATAAAAGTGTATAAAAATTGTATACGCTGTATTGTATTCTGAAAAATATTGAAATTACAGTATTTCTTTCTTATTATGTTATTTTAATGTTACATATGGTAGTAATATTAGATTATTAAAAAAATATATAATTTTATTTTTTTAAATCAGTTGGTTCATATTTTGACAACAAACAGAAGTTTTCTACAAGTTCTATGAGTTCTATGGATATTTACTATAAATAGTAAAAAAAATTGTCTTGCTAATATTATACAATATGTTAATAACAGTTATTATACAACATTCTACATTGTAATGTACATACTAATTGCATTATTATTTATTTAATGTTTAGAAAAATGAGTGCTTGTGGGCCTTATACCATATGTCCTTTCAATGCAGCCCATCGGATTATAGATGGCAGAATTCAAAGGCATATACTCAAGTGTCGCAAAAGTTATCCAAAGGATATTAAAGTTACATGCCCCTTTGATGCTACACATGTGTTGAATCCAGAAGAATATGAAGTATGTCCTCCATAAACATAGAAATTTTTATTATAATAGAAATTTTTTATTTTAACATTAATGTTTCATTATTATAGCACCATTTATTAACATGTATAAGTAGTGGAAATGTGATGTGTTATCAAGTGACGCTTGAACCAGAGAAACAACTTGGAACAGTACTTTTAGAAGATGCATGCAATGTGCAGACTGATGTAATCTCTGATGAAGATTGGTCTGGAGTAAGTAATCAAAATATTATTGAAATACTTTCTTGTTTTTCATACGATTACACTTTATTGCCATAAAACCTGATAAATGAATTCATGAAATTATTTACTTTTTTTAGAATAATCCAACATATAATGCATTAGCTGTCTCTGAAGCTAAGAATGTAATGAGGTCAGCAGTCGGCTTATCAAAGTCTAAGAAGAAACAATTTAAACGCTCTGAAAGAGAAAGAATAGCACAGATTGAAAATGAACACAATAATACTACTGATGTTAGTAGTATCATACAGAAACAACCAGTGGTGGTAAATGTGCTTAATTGTTTTATTCTTTCTTTTATTCTTAATTCATCTATGAATGGATATATTACTATTTCAATATTTTCAAATCAATTACTAATGCAATTCCTTTTATATTTTAACAGGAATTAGAAACACCATTACGAATGCCCAAAAATGCTGCTAAAGCAATATATTTGGATCAGACATTGGATTATAGTGATAAGGATATCTACATTGGAGACCTAGTTTCAAAGTTGAGAAAGGTCGATTTGAAGAAAGATAGCTCTTTGCTTGAGGAAAATGTATCTACAATAAATAACAGTTTTTCACAAGAAAGTCATAAAGAAAACAGTGCGAATAATATTTACAGCGATAAAAACAGTAATTCCGCACGTAGTAGTCAGGAAAGTACCAGCAAGAAAAATATAAATATGACCAGAAATGATGTTAAAAGCTGTGAGAAGTCCAAAGAAACAGATACTAAAAACAATAGTATTCGTCAATATTTGAACAAAGAAAGAACAAAACGTGTAAATTTGCAAATAGCTGCTACCCTTGAGGAAGCAAGGAAAATTAGTACTGGGAGAGGATTTACCATTGCTTATCAGAAAATACGATCTGAAATTAATGAAAGCAACAAAGAGGATATAAGTTTGGATCATTACAAAAGTCTATTTGGCTATGAAGAAAACGAGGATGATGATACTGATGATGCTTCACAAGAAACATAGATTTATTTAGACTACTATTCGAAGTATTCTAGTTGTACTTACTACATAATGACACCATGCTTACACGTAAATGAATCATTACTTCTTAAAGTATATGAAGAAGTATCGTTATTTTCTTTAATCTGTTAATTAATTAACAGATGTCGCAATCAAATTTGGGTTATCAAATACGAACTTTATTACGGAAGTTAAACTAAAATTTGTTGAAAATATATATAATACGATATGATTTTAATTAAGATTTGTTATGTGATAAGTTCATTTTATTCATGGTAGTTAAGTGTATTGACGACATACATTAATTTTTAATACAAGAAATAATAAAACTTCAGTTCTATTATTTCTAAGTACGACACTATCGTATGTGGAAGCTGATAGTTTGGTGGTGATCAAACTTTTCAATTTATAGAAGAAGAAAACAATTTTAATTTTGTTACTTAGAAATGTAAGTAGATACATCGATAATTAGCAATTAAATAAACAAGTTTTTTCAAAAACTATTTACTGAACAATTTTTTCAAGAGAAAATCTGCATAAATCAAGGAAGCAAAGAAAACCGTTCATCGTAACACGCCGATTGCCGAACGGTTGACTCGCAAAAAAGAGACAATTCAGATGCGACGTTCGAATTGTCCGCTGAGGCAAGCGTTTAGCGGTCGGGTCAATGTACGTTGGTGGTGCGAGCTGTTTATTGTATCTCAACTTTTGCTGTTGTCGATCGAAAAACACCACGACTTTGATCGCGGTTGAAAGTCGAGCGTGCATCGACCCACGAGCTGCGATTCGCTCCGAACACTGTAAAATATAAATTCTGCCACTAGAGTGATTCCATATAAAATCTGCATTGTTTCATATCTTTTGGAGGTTTTGATTTTTTACAACAAGAAGTCCATCCATAGATACGAGCCACATGCAGTAGAGACTCTTTAAACAAACATTTATTATTACAATATTCTCGTATGCAAACGTTCCATTATTTAATCATTGTATTAATTAGGGACATTATCGCCTAGTAGAGAATTTGAATTAAATTTATAAATAATATAATGTTTTGGTAACAAGATATTACTCAGCAGATTCCAAACAGAAAGATTTCTTTGCAAATTCTTCATTAAATCATGAGAAACGGTCTCAGAATTAAATGAAACAAAAAGTATGAAATTTTGCAACATCCACCCTATTGACCCGTCGAACCTTAGCTTCGACGTAGCAATAAATCGCATAGGCATAAGATTAGCACAGGGAAATTCACAGCAATCCGAAATTTGGTATTCTAGGGAGAATTTACTGTATATCGTCGAAAACCATAAGTAAAGTTGATTGGTGACCTTCGTATGAAACGTTGGAATGCTCACGAAGTCCATTTTATAGGATTGTTATAAATATTAAGAAGCCAGAAATAATATCATAGATTTGTGCAATTGAAATTGGCTTTTAATCTAAAGAAAGAAAAGCGGGCGATGGGCTGGCCTCTTCTTCCATGAATCGTAAACGAGCTGCGGGTTTCGATCTGACTTGAAAACAAATTGTTATTGTTGTATTCTTCGCGCCGGCTATAACACATCATGAGGATTTCAAAAACATAATACGGTAACTTGAAGGGCAGAATTTGATTACGAGTCGTCCTGTCGAAGGAGTGGGGGCAAGGAGACGCAGGCCGCGACCGCGAGTTCGACATGCCTTCGTTTATTCGCTCCGATCGTGAAGAATGTAACAGCATTATTTTCGATCGCTCGTTCTAACTTCTTGGTGTTCGAAAAATTTTATTCTTGGGGTATTATACCGTTGAGATGTTCAAGCCGGCATCAAAGTTCTCGAGCGTGAAATCAAGCTTCTTAGATTTCAAGGAAAATTCGTTCAAGAGTCAGCCGAAACCCACACGAATACGGTAACCGAAATCCACTATTAAATTCTTCGAAATATACGCAACGGACATCAACTATAAAAACGAGGCTCAAATAATCGTATCTCCTTTTCCCAAATTGTTTATTTTTGTTTATAAGTTGAAGACCAATTGGGCAGAATTTACTGTACATACATTGAGCATCATTCGCAAATTCGCTGGCAAATGTGGTCGAGAATCCTACAAGGCGAAATATCGCGCCGCGTGTTTCAGATGGAGCGTAAGGCGTACGGATGCGCGAGAAGAGTGAGACGGCAAGCACGTGAAGTGAGCCAAACTACATTGGTGCTGTGTAACTGGTTTCGCATGTTGTGCCGATGCCGTGCTGTCTTCCTCACTCGCTAGTTCTTCTCTTTGNCCCCGTTCAACGCTTCCAGGCTCATCGTGCTGTTGTTCGCGTTGAACGAGTCCGAGCTACCGAAACCGGACGAGTTGTTGTTCCTCTTCCACGTACCGGTTTGCTGTCGAAGAGAACAGGGCCGCGTGTGAGAGGGAGCACGAGGCGACGAGATACTACTGCAGGTTCACCGAGCAATAAATACGCCTAATGACCACTCCCGGGGCCCGGAAAAACTGGGCCCGCTCGCGAGAAGCAAATTAGTTTCCCGAGAGGAACGACTCTGCGGCGCGGTAATGATAGCCCCGCGCCGATAAATCATAGCACAGGCAATGGGGTCGATCGGGGATTATTTATTACCATAACAGGTCCGGGCCCTGGATTCTCTCTCTCTCTCTCTCTCTCTTCATCGCTGCCATTTCCTATCGATTCGGATCTCGAGCATCTACAATCTACAGCTTCATGCTCGAGAAAGCACGCGAGAGATACGCGATGTTCGTAGCGAATGAAATCTTTGAAAAGCTTTGTGAATATATGTAGTAAATTCTCATAAATTCTCCGTCAGCTTGTGAACAAAAATCGACAATTTGGGAAGAGGAGATGCGATTATTGTATTAATCAGTCCACACGAACAGCCGTAAACAGCAATTTCTTCCTAATTCGCGCTCAGATTGAGCACGAAAATTGACAATTAATCTTGCGTCTCATTATTATAGTTGTCGACAATCGGTAACTATAAAAACGAGGCTCAAATAATCGTATCTCCTTTTCCCAAATTGTTTATTTTTGTTTATAAGTTGAAGACCAATTGGGCAGAATTTACTGTACATACATTGAGCATCATTCGCAAATTCGCTGGCAAATGTGGTCGAGAATCCTACAAGGCGAAATATCGCGCCGCGTGTTTCAGATGGAGCGTAAGGCGTACGGATGCGCGAGAAGAGTGAGACGGCAAGCACGTGAAGTGAGCCAAACTACATTGGTGCTGTGTAACTGGTTTCGCATGTTGTGCCGATGCCGTGCTGTCTTCCTCACTCGCTAGTTCTTCTCTTTGTCCATTGGCTATGAAGGCAGCACTGTTTCTGTGTTTCGTTAGCCAATCAGAGAACAGCAATTCGCTGCATTCTCTCAATTTAAGAACCTCGTTGCTCCCGGATATGGTTCTTGAATTGAGAGATTACTGTAGTTCTATAAAGAGGCACTGACGGCAGTACGGATTTTTAATCCGATTCTTTGGAAGTTAACATATCAAATATGGCTACCGCAATACAAAACATGACTCGATAAAAATGAAGACGAATAAGCAAGTTGTCGCTGACTCAACAACGTCAATGTTTTCTCATTATATCGCCTGTTCTTTCGTGCGACACGTCTATTTAACCTATATCGCTCGCTCATAACAATAGTACATTCTGAATAATCATGTGTGAAAGCCAAGAAGGTACGGTCAACGACAGCTGTTCAAAGAAGGAAGAAATCATGGACGAGACTAACAGAGGTGTTAAAATTCGTTATCAAAAGCAACTTATATATAATAAATTGTTACCCTATGTGGATGAGTTGGACTCGGATTCACAAGCTCTTTTCGCCGAAATCAAAGGAAATTTAGGACGAGCTATTATGCTCCGTGAATTGCAACCTGGTTGTGTCATTTGGGTTACTAGGTTGTACGAGTAAGTAGATATTTTACATGCAATGTAAAATTTTGTACTTTTACACGTAATTCAAAATATGTATCCGAAACTACAACTATTCGGAGCAATCCTAATAGGCATAGTCACTTACTGTTTCAATAACGAATACAAAATAATATTCATAAAAATTTTACAATATTATGGTGCAATACATGTCTGCCTTTGTTATAGGTATATAAAGATATATGGTTTAAAGTTTAGTAAAGAAGACCATATTCTTTTGATCAAATTAATGTATGAACTAGTTACAATTCCAGATCTAGAACCATATGTAATGAGTGGATCTTGTTTGACGTTAATATCATTATTAAAGTAAGTTTTACATGGATTTTATATTATCATTTTTAAACGATTTAAACATGAGTTATTGTCATCTGAATACAATTAGGAAAAAGGCACTAATATCTCCAGAAGAGCTAGAACTACCATGGGAACCTCTTTACAAATTAGCTTGTCATATGCAATCAAGTGCACAGACGTCATTGGGGATGTATCGTTATTCTGCTGGCTTAACAAATACATTAAACATACTTGTACATGCTGTAAAGCCTTATTTTCCTGTAAGTGATTATTTTTTTCAAATAAGTTTATGAAATGACTGAGATTAATTCATTATGATAGTTAAGCACAACACAGGAGATATTAGATGAATTGAGACCAACACTATATCCCCTCGATCGTGCACCAATGTTTATGAAAATGGAATTGTTAGAATGGTTTTTACCATTGCAATTATCTCCTAAATATCATTCGATTGGACATGAATTATGGTTTAATGAATTCATGTCTTTATGGGAAGTCTGTAATAATGCACCAAAATGGGAAAACGAAATGATGAATTTAATGGCAAGATTGGCTTCCTACAACATTGGTTACATAAACTGGGAACCATATATTCCATTAATGTTCACTAGATTTGTGAGATCTTTGGGATTACCAGTAGCATACAACAAACAGAGGACATCTAGTTGTCACAAACTAGATACTATGGCTATATGGATAGTATCAGTATTGGTAAGATTAGATTATAAATTCAGAAAATCCTCATAGTATTTAACCTTTAAAAATCTATAAAATATGATTATACGTGATATTCAATAATTTTAGGGACATGGTTCAAGTGCACAAATGTATTTCGAAAAATTCTTGAAAACAATAGATACATACCTTCATCCAGCCAACTGTGGTCAATGGTTGGTAAGGTTAAAGGATCTCCTTATGAAGCTTTCATATCACTTTATCAGACGTCTGCGCAGGTAGTTATCATTTTTCTTTTAGTATGCATTTCTGTAATGACTTCTTTTAAATTACAAGATTCTTTTCTGTTACTGTAGAGAACGCTATCCTAAACCAACATGGGAGACACCTGTGCCTGACGAGTACAAATTAACTGATAGCGATGTCGATGCATTCGTTAAAAGCATGATGCCGGTAGCTATGACGGCCATGTTCAGCAAAACAGGTTTTAGCAATGTTTCTGAAATATTATATCACCTTGCTTCTATGAGACCCAGTTTAGTCATTCACGATGTGTTAGAGAATGTGTCTCCTGTATTGGGCTCGCTTACAACAGAATCGTACAAACTGTATACATCATTAAGCTACTTGGAAGCTATAGCTGGACCAATGGTTGAAGGATCTAGAAATGTTAATAAAGGTATTAATCAAAAAAATTATCGTTTATAATTCTTAAGAGATTTATTCATTGCAATATTGTTTCAGGGTATACATACCCTGAAGGACCAACGCATGTTCTACCATTATTATTTTTACTGTTGCCTGGTATCGATCCAAGCGACACAGAAAAGTGTTGCATAATTTTTCATCTAATTGCATTTTATGTCGCCTATATACCAATCGCGGATGCTCCTGATCCATCTACGGCAATGGATGAAGAGGAAACATTAATTTATGAGACAACCTCCAAATTCGAAGACTTTGTCTTACAATTTTTTGATAGAGTATTTTATTTCATTGATGCCACCTCCTTGGAATCAGTTCGATTAGAGAGTAGTACCGACAATAGCAAAAGTAAGATAGAGGTAGTTATTCAAACTGTACTCCATGAAGTCTGCTCAATTGTGTTGGCCCAGACTAATCAGAAGATTTTTGAATGCGCTTTGCACAAACTGCGTGCGTTCGTAACTGAGCATATTCTTGAAACTAAAGTCGCTGGACAATTGGCCGCATTGATATGTAAATTATTCGCCCGTGTCAATGGAGAAGCAACGTTGCGTTCATTGGTACCCCTACTTTCGGAAACTATTCTGAAGATCACAGACGAAAGTAATGACATTACTAAAGAAGAGAATTTGGACAATCGTCTTTTGTATGTTATGTTATTGTTATCTGCTCTCGTGGATACTCGTGGGAAACACTTGCTGCCACATATGGATCAATTGACTACCGTTCTTGATCGAGTGCTAGTTTTAAAGTCAAGAGAAGGAAACAATTTGGCTTTCACATTGTTAGGATCTATTATGTATTCGTTGTCTCAAGTTTTACCAGATCGATTCGAAACCACTGAGGTTATACATTGGGGCCAGAGATTGGAAATTAATTCTTTGAAAATTGAATGGTACATTCCCGAGGAAAAAGAAATGACTGTATTAAAGCAAATATTCTATAAGTATTTATTGCCTGAAATAAGTAAGCTACAGAAATATTGTGAAGACTGGAAAACATTATCAAGGTTCGCTACTGTGCTATTATCAGCAGTTATTTGATTATTTTTAACAGACTGTAACAAATGCTATATGGATGAATAATTTTAGGGATGAGCTGCTGACTAGTTTGAACATTGTGAACAGTATTGTTCAAGGTTGTGAATCCGTATTACCGTTATGGGAAGAGGAACCACTAATTTTAGTGAAATCATCTTTAAAGTCTGTGCCCTTTAAACCAACGATTGGCGTACGTCAAATAATCACAATGCCAGATGGTAGCAACGTAAGACGCTTTATCGTAGAACTTATGAATAAGTTTCAGAAAGTGATACTGAAGCATGTAGAAGATGATACAAAAAGTTTACAAGTTTTAGTGGATGTATGTATTTATACGTAATATCTTTGAGATCTGCTGACGATTTTAATGAATGAAAGTTCTTAATTTTAGATTTGGAATAGACTTTTATTGGGGGAGATCCACCGTATCGAAGATTGTGACATAAGACGTAGGCATTTTAAAGTCGCGAACAAACTTTTCAAAAATAAATTAGTAGGAAATAAAGGATTATTGAAGCCGTTTGTACTGCAATGCGCCGATATCCAACACGACACGCGTGTACGTTCGCAGGGCTTCAACTTAACGCAAACTCATAAAGAGATTATGCTACAACTTTTTACATTATCCACCAGCAGATACGCTGATGTGCGACAACAGGCTCAATATCATCTATTTCGCGCTCTTAGATATTTCAGTTACTCTTATACGTTTATTGTACCAGAATTAATTGATATATTAAAAAAGGACGCAGAGGAGTACCACGACGCGCATAAGGTAACATTGTAAACAATTATTAATACTCACAATTATGAATAAGCGAACCACTTCTAATTTACTTAATACCTCACGTAGAATACATGTATTTCAATCTGTTATAATATTTGTTTACCTTTTTGAAACAGGGTGCTTTGTATATTTTGTTCAGTTCTTCAGAAGAGTCTATCATAATGAAATGTGATTGGAAAACGCTACGATCTTTATGGCCAGCTTTAGTACTGTCCAAGATATCCGAAAAACTATCTGTGGTGCGATTGAAAGATATTTTAGTGCATTCTGTGAATAAACGTTTTCCCACGTTTGCCATTTCACACGAAATACCAGAAGCTTGTTTAACAACTGCATCCAAGTTATGGACAAGTGAACCGCGACCAAATTTTCCTTTGCCAACCGAGAACGAGATAGAACAAGGCTTGGAAGCATTTAAAGAGGTCGGAAAGAATAATTTAGCTTATTACACCGGCTTGATGGACGAACTATTGAACGCTCTTCTGGAGAAGAATTTGCACTGGAGACATCGATTGATGGCGATGTATTTCATCCGAAATTTAGTTCACCCTGAACAGATCTATCCACCGAAAGTCATTCGTTATTTCATGGGAGCGTTGATACACGATTCATTACAAGAAAGACAAATCGCTACCAGAGTAGCCGTATACATTTTGAAACAATTGAAACGGAAACATCCAAAAGTAAAGTATTCATTGAATTATGAAATAATATATAACGAATTATATACACGCTAAATAATAATTTTTTAATCCGAAGGTACTTATCGATCCTCCTGCTTTGCCAGAGATAAGTGAAGCGCAAGATTCGCAAGATCAGTACAAGAAATTGGTACCAGGACCAAGACCAGACAACGCTTGGCTACAATATAATTACGAAACTCGTCCTCTGACCCCAGAACAATGGGATGAGCCTAAATTCGTTCACAACACGTATACTGGATATTACACGTGGCCAAAGAAGATAGAAATATACGCGCCGTCGTCTGAACAACCGTGCTTAGATTCGAATGTTCGAAAGTTAACGGAACACGAGAAAGAAGTAGATCACTTTTTCAATGACCCACAGAATATTGAGAAACTAATAACGTTTTTCAGTATCGAAGAGAAAGTTGATAAATTCAATGGTCTTAGATTTTTAGTTTTCAAAGGTGTCTTTCGTAACCATGGAATAGTGTACTTGAAGCAATTTTTACCACATTTGTACAAGCTAGTTGAGGACAAACAGAAAGGTAGCCAAAGATGCGCGTCTGAGATAATCGCTGGAATTATTCGAGGCTCTAAACATTGGCCATTCCACATGGTTTCCGAAATGTGGGAAAATCTGTTACCAATTATAAGACACGCGATATCTAATGTAACGGTTGAATCTCAAATGGATTGGGGCCTGTGTTTTGCAAACGCTCAGCGACACAGAGATCCAAATAGACACCATTGGTTATTGGAATGCTTAATGGAAGAATCACATCTTGGTGATTCGGAGGCGTCTTTTGTCGAATGTGGACGTTTGCTTATCCTGCAGGCGGCACTCGATGAACAATCGTGGCGAGTTTCAGAATTGTTACAACGTCTGCTAGAACGTACAGAAGATAGGCTGCTAGCGAGTCCCTTTGAGAATGTGAGAGGAAGATTGGGTTCCGTTTTAGTGAGCGTATTCAACGTGAGCTTCAGGTTTCCAAATTCCTCAAGTAATCAGTGGACACCCAGAGTAGAGGATTTAGTAAATAAAATACTACCGAGATTGCAAACTCTTGTCACCGAAAGTGCTTTAGTATCAAGTAAGGAAGAACACTCTTTATCCGCTCAGGTAGCAAACGTTAATTTCAATGATTCCTCTACGGACTCTGAAAAAGTCGCGAAGGACCGTGAGATAGCGATTCGATTGTTCAAAACAGTTTGCAAATGGATCTCAATTACCGTCCTCCGTTCTCCGAGTGGTATACAGCCAGAGTTTTATAAAATATTTCCTATTATATGTCAACTTGAAAATTGTGACACAGATGAGGAATTGGCCAAATTATGTACCCATACTTTAGCATTACTTGCACAAGGGCTCACTCTACCGCGTGACTTGCCACTAGTCTTAGACAAAGTAGTGAGCATGTCGAAGCACGCGTCGTGGTGGACGAGGTCCACTTGTTTGCAATTCCTTCAAGTATTGATATTTCATAATATCAGTACATTTTTAAGTAACTCCGCGTGGGTCAGTTGCGTGAAGGATACAGTCATATATTTGTTGGAAGATGAACGCGTTGAAGTGAGAAAAAGTGCTGGCCAATGTCTCAGTGGACTGTTGCATTGTACGTTTATACCAAACCAAGAAAAATTATTGGTAAGCAGCCTAAGGATAATTTTACTGTAAGATATATTCTATACGTAGAGTTTCGTTGACAATTATCTTCATTGACAATTTTTAGGAGGAGTTTAAGAAGAAAGCGAAAACCAAATTGTATAAGAAAGATAATTTAAATCAGCAGAAGGAGACAGCAAGGAAGGAATTAAAAATTGATGCTATAAGAATTCGTCATGGAGCTATATTAGGGCTATGTTCATTCATTCAAGCCCATCCGTATGATATTCCTGACTATGTTCCATCAATTTTTGAATTCCTCAGTCCTTTCATGAATGATCCACAACCAATACCGGTGAGTATGCAATCAATTTATGATACTTTCAAATCGTTGTATAATGCGGTTTTATTTGTTTATAGACAACGATTAGGAAGACTCTGGATGATTTTAAGAGAACCCATTATGATGGATGGAGAGGGATAAATGGGTATTCGCAACATTTCACACAAGAACAATTAACTATATTGCAAGATTTAACGATACCTCCGCCCCATTATTCTTAATAGAAGTATTTCAGTTTGTATCATATGTTTCCTATGGTTGTTATATAGCATTTTTTACGTGCAATTCTGCACGCTGATCATGAAACATAGTTTTAATCACAAGAATCATAATCGCGAGAACGATTATGAACAAACAAAAAATAAAACTTCGTTTATAGTAATAACAATGTAATTGGACGAAAAATATTTAGAGAATACTTAATTGGTGTTGTACAATGAAAATATAATACGTTTATTAAAATTTATTTGTTGCCGTGAAGAAGGAAATAGAAAATGAAATTACAAGTTTTTAATTAAAGCTATGAAAGACCAAGTATGGAGACTATACCAGTGTTCAGAGGAATTTAAAAAATGGTAATGTTTATACTAATTACTAATTTTAAATTTATCGAAAGTTGTTATTTATGCTCGTGTAATATTGATTACAAATGATTACAGTTCTATTGACGAGACAGTTGTACGAACTCTCCTTTTTATATCAAACTAAATGCTATGTACAAAAAAAATAAAGAAAATTAATGTACTGTGTACAAAGCAAAAGAAATCTATGTACCAGCTGTTAGGTTTGTTATATTTCATTTAATTGCTAAATTTCGAGCTGTAAAATTTGCTATCTTTCTATTTCTAGTTCGTATTCTCATTCTAAGAGGTTGATTAATCAGGTGTAATGTATTTATAGATATATATGCATACACACACACACATTCTTGACAATATAATTTTTGCATTTTTCTTCAGCATAGTTAGAACAGAATGAGATCCTCTAAACTGAATTTAAGAAAAATTCTCACGGAAGTACAGACATGGTAAAAATGGTTTTTTCAATAATCAGTTCATCTACTATACTTTTCAAATTTTTTGCCCTTCGTTCAATTGTTAGACAAATTTACCGTTAGAGTAGAGTCTACAAAATGCACAGTAGTGCCATCTGACATTTCTAAAAGAATTAGAATCGGTAATGTGTTTATCAATTTGAACGTTTGTCACTATGTGATTTGGTGCTATACGAACCTCCTAACTTTGTTTCGTAATTTCATCACATGCGGCACCACTTCTCACAAATGGCGCTATTTTTAAATTTTCTCATTTGCACGTATAAATAAACCTTCCTGCATGGTATAGATGCAGCGGAATTTTCTGAATATTTCAGTACTTCTAAGATATTCTTTTATAATTACTTCATATGTAGTATGAATATAAGCTTAATAAATTCGACTTACTTACACTAGGTTATGCTATCTACGTTAGAAATAACCTAAACAGTTAAGTATAGTCTAGTGACTTCATTCATCAATTATTATTGAATTGCGCAGTGTGTTGGGACGACGTATCTGCAGAAACAAATAGGAAACCGTCTCGCTTGTAAATCCCCTTAAACTGTAAATTTGAATTGCTACGTAGAGATGACATAGCACGTTTGACAAATCTATTACTTCACTTTGATAACGTTGCAGTATTTATCAGGTAACTACCGTGTCACCATGAATCGAATAATAATATTTGGGGCTACTGGGAATACAGGATTATGTGCTTTAAATGATGCTGTAAAGAAAGGTGACGTATTTTTTTATTCTTTATTGACGGTTGTAAAAAAAGCCGGTTTGTTCAAAACAACAGAAAATTATCAAATATAAACTGTATTCATTGGACCATACTAGTTTTTATTCAAGAACACATTTTACAATCTAGGATTAAAAGTAAGAGCATTCGTGAGAGATGAAAACAAAATCCCGACAAATTTGAAAGATAAAATAGAAACATTTGTTGGGGATGTTACTAATGCTGAACAAGTATCAGATGCAATATCTGATAGAGATGGGGTGGTTGTTGTCCTTGGTACAAGAAATGATTTAAGTAAGTATATTTGAGGTATTAATCGAAGACCATTTTTAATTTGTTTGGTTGGTTAATTCTTACAATTGAAATTGTCAATAATCGTGATTAGTGTAATTATAAGTTTAGTTACATTAGTTAAATTAAAAATTTAACCATTATTAGTAATGATTAAATATGATCAACTATTTGAATTGTCTCAACTAGTCACTAATCATTAACTGCATTAAATATGACTGAACTATAGAGTTTCAAATTACATTGAATTTACTAAGTTTAATATTTTTATGTTTAATTGTTTCAGGTCCTACTACAGTGTTATCTCAGGGTATGAAAAATATAATAGATGCTATGAGAACCCATAATGTAAAAGTGGTATCTGTTTGTTTGTCTGGTAAATATATAATTTATTTTACAACAATCTTTGTTTTAAAGTGAATTAAGACATTTTTACATATATCTAAATAATTTTTCTATTATTTACAGCATTCTTATTCTATAAACCTGAAGCAGTGCCTGCTATATTTAAGGACTTAAATGCAGATCATCAACGTATGTTTGATCTACTCAAGGCAAGCGAATTTCAGTGGATTGCCGTATTACCGCCACATATTGCTGGTATGTATTACAATAAATACATATTCGAGCTAAGTGTCTATTATTACATGATTTACTTTTAGATGCACCAAGTTCGAAGTATGTAATCAAGCACGATGAATCTCCAGGTCGTGCTATTTCTAAATATGATTTAGGTGCTTTCCTTGTCGAAAGCCTTCAGAAAGCAGAACATTATCAGAAAGTTTGTGGTATAGCAACTGCTTCTTAGTATAATTTGACACATGATCATACATGAATAAAAATTATTTTAATGTTATCTTTGGATAATCTATTAAATTAGATAAAGGTAATTACAGATGTTCTCTCCTGCAACTTCTTTTTACTCCTTTATAGGAATAAATAAGAAAAGTATGAACACAAGAAAAGATTATAGTTTGTATGAAAAATATTTCATTGATTCTAGAAACTGTACAATTTTCGAAAATATTGTTTTCAGTATATTATTGGAATGGATTGTATAATTTAATTTTTATGACTGTACTGGACAAATGATAAGTATTAGTGTAGCATGAACAATTACAAAAATAATTTACTAAGTAAATAAATAATGCGTGATCTGCAACATTTATGTAATGGAATATGAAAAGGACTTAGGTGTAAAAGCGTGTTTCATTACATTACTATTATTGTAATGTTTTTACCATATGAGTTCTATGAGCAATTGCATTAAAATCATAGAACTTTGGCATCCGAAAGTTTGGCATTGGTGGAGGTGGTGGGCCAGAAAATTGTATAGATTTTTCTTTAAGTTTTGATTTTGTAAATGCTGCAGTAGAATATACAACATCATTAATTCCATAGGCTTTGAATGGATCACAGGTTTTATAGCCATTTTTAAGATAGAAAACTTCTTGACCTTTCGTTGTTAAATATACATTCTTAAATCCTCTCCTTTTAACATAATCTTCTGCACCATGGAGCAATCTAGATCCAAGCCCTTGGGATCTACATTTGTAGTCGATTATAACTAAAATATGAAGAAGAACATTGTTATACTGTTTTTCTTTATTAAAAATCTGTTCGTAGTAAACGTACCTGACTGTATGAAACAACTGTGGCGCAATTTAGGTATCAGGGATATCTTACAGTGACCAAGGACTCTGTTCTCCTTGTTAATAAGTATAAGACATGTGGGAAATTTGTCACATGATACAGTTAAAGATTCTAACCTATTTTATATAAAAAATGAATTAATTTTGGAAATAATGATGCTGAGATGAATGTAGAAATGTATGTAATGTACCGTGCAGTCTCGCTCCTTGGCCATTCAGAATTAAGTAATATGCAACAGTCTTTAATTAATTCTGGTCTTCTATGAAGAGGGACTATAGAATATTCCTTATTATTTGTTGTCATAATCTTTCTGCAAATATATTAAAAAAAAATAACATTCTACAGGAAGCATATGATATTAGTATTCTATTGATATCATTCTAGTATTATTTAAAATGTCATTTCTACAATGATTGCTATATTATAATTCATTACTTAAAACAAAAACAACAATCATGCTAATTATTGTTCTTGATAGATTACAATGTCCAAAGAAATTTATCCGATAATGGAACTATTAAAACGGTATTTATGATTCACGAATAATTAGGCGCCAAGGCTTATTCATGAAAGCATGTGAATTCTCGGAAAATAGTTATCCTGGTCCAAAATAGAGATCCACGACAACCTGCCATTGACAGTCATCAAAAAATAGAAAGTATTAACACGTATCGAGAAGTCTTAAGAAATACTTAGCAGCAGATATCCTTACCGTATTTTTTTATTTGCAAACGACGAGAACTTGACACAAAAGATTAAAGGTCACTGTGTTTCTCCACCTGTATGTATCTCGTGCGGAAATAGCTTTCAGATTAGTGTCATCTTGAGCTAGGAACGATATTTCTGCTGAACATATCCCCACCGTTATGTAAAATTTTCACCGCACCCAGCCGCATTGTTGGATATAACACTCCTAGCGGTCGTATTTTCGAATGTATTCGTAGACTGCTCAAATTACTCGAATTCCTTCCATTCAGTTCAATGAACATAGAATTATTAATTTCGATAATCTAATATTGTATAGAGCCACGTGAAAGAAAAACATACGATCAAGTTTTTGAACGTAACCTTTTACCCCACTTTTATCTTTGTTAATTCATTTTTTAACCTCTAGACGACGGTTCCTGGGCCGATTCTGACCCAACTTTTCGAAATCTACATTTAATTTTACAGATCAAATAAGTCTTCATTTTGATTAACTGTGACAACGAGAACGACTCTTTTGAAAGAAATATTCAATATAAATATAAAATTAATAAATAAGAACTTGAACGAATCTTCGTAGACTTTATCGTCTTCTATATTTTTTAAACAGTAAAGTTCATTGTTTATGTATTGGAAATTAATTGTATCGTGATACACTTTGATATGTATTTTATTATGTACATTATTACGTATATAGCTCCATTTTCTAATAATTTTTCTAAATGTAGTACATTAATTAATCGTCGACTCTGCTTCTCTGTTAAGTAATAGTGCCTTTATTCCTTTTATGTTTCATTTCTCTTTGGACATCAAACACGTGTAGGACTTTTGTGGAAGAATTTTTCTGCGAGCGTGATACGTTCTCTCACGACTTGTCCATGACCCATTCCCTTTTGGACGCGAGAACCTTTTTTTGCATTTGACCCATTTTTCTTAATAGCCTCTGTTCTATATGTGAGCGGCGTTCTGCATTCTTTATTTCGGCAGTGCTTGTCAATGCCGTCTTAGATTAGGGCGAACAGTCACATGCTTGTTGTCATTGCAAACAATGTCAGTTTTAAAAACCAATATGTACTCATTTTCAAGTACCATTGCTCATCATCCGATAAGTATTTGTTACTATGTACAATATATTTTAGTAGTTTAATATATATTTTTGTAATAAATTTTATTATAACGTAATATACGTGCATAAAATGAACAACCATAATTTAAGATGCGCGATTTTAACAGGTTGCCCTAGAAAAATAGTCAAACACTTCTGAAATATTTGTATTTAATGTTAAATAATTACTTTTAATATTACTAAGACAGTATAGAGTAAGTTAATGTATTATTGAAGTATGTGTTACTATAATTAAATATGTAATCATTTCTATGATTACTATAAAAGAAAGATTCAATAGAAGAATTAAAGTCGTAGAAAAATCATTTCCGCATTTTTGTTATCTCCGCGTCGTTTGAAAATTTTTCTTTAATTTCGAAAATTGTTTAAATTGTATGGTCAAAAATATCAACAAATCATAGTTGCTCTTGTATTATTACCACTTTTTATTTTTATCATATTTTTCTTATTGAGAGATATAAACATTGATGCTTCTAAGTGATAGTGTATCTTTAGATCATTGAGAACCACTGACTGTCTCGGAAGAAATGCAGGTTTATTTGTACTGCTCAGTCGCTCAGTAATAATATTGTTAGAGTCGAAACGAAGTACAATAACATTCCAATTATTTACGTAGAATGTATTTATAACTAATAATATAATATAATTAATATTTCTATTAAGTTTCACTGATATTAATACAAAATATCAAACATAACCTGCATCAACAATTTTACCTTGGCGAGTAAATAAAGCGGATATTTAAATATTTGTTGTACTGACACTGTTCGAAACAAAAATGTTATCGGGGAGGGCTCCTGTGACAGGTAATATTCTACGAATTTTAATTAGAGAATTATAATAACTTTATTAATGTTATGAAAACTATTTTTTCTAATATAACCTCTACTTTTCGGTTTTGTTAAATTGACAGAAAATCCTTTGGGACTTTCTTGGCATGATAGTGCGTGGATTCCTGTGTTAAACCCAAACAACATAATGGATTACTTTTCTGAAAGAAGTAATCCATTTTATGACAGAACATGCAATAATGAAACCGTTAAAATGCAACGTGCCAGTCCTGAGCAATTACAGTGAGTAATTGCCAGATTATAGTACTAAAATATTATATACGTAATGGCAAAGTTAATAATTGATTATTGAATTTCAGAAATATGACAGGACTAGAATACATTCTTTTACATGTTCAAGAACCCATTTTGTACGTTATTAGAAAACAACATCGACATTCTCCCACTGTAGCAGCACCACTTGCCGACTACTATATTATAGCAGGTGTTGTGTATCAAGCACCTGATTTAGCATCTGTTGTCAGCTCCAGATTGGTATTTTTCATTTAATAATAAATATAACAAATTGATAAATTTATGAATGTGTTTCTCAATCATAAATAATGTTTTGCAGTTATCCACAGTGCATCATCTGCAATCTGCTTTTGAAGAAGCTAGCTCATGTTCTCGATATCATCCTAGTAAAGGATACTATTGGGATTTCAAAAATGGCAAAGCACTGGCAGCAAAAAAAGAAACTCCCGTTCGTGAGGAACCTAGTTCACTGTTCCAACGCCAAAGAGTGGACATGCTACTAGCTGAGCTCATTCGGAAATTCCCATTACCTGCACCAAAGCCTGTACATCAACCTATAGAATCTTGTATGTTTTCTTAAAATCAAAAACACTCGTTAACCAAGTGACAATTGTGGAATTAATATATTTTTTTCCATTTACAGCCATAGAGATCAAGCAAGAAGTGAAAGTCGAGAAGAAAGATATGAAACCCCCACCAGAAAAGAAGCCAAAGGTTAACTAGCAAAATCTTATGAGAAAATATAGGATAGTGTATATTAAGAGCTTAGGTTTAAGTGTGTATTTAGTATAGTCCCAATTTTTTACAATGCTATAAGCATTTAACAATTTCAATTAAGTATACTTTCTACTGGATTATATAAAAATTGATGTATATACTGATGAATAATTATTAAGACCGATGTCAAATTAAAAGCCAGCTAAGTATTTTTCACTTCATTATCGTTTCTTCTTACACCATGGACAATCTAAATCAACTGCACTTTCCAATACTTCTTGTCTCATTTGCTCCTTCTTCGAATTTTTCAGTTCGTTCTGCAACTTTTCCTGTTTTTTAGAACTAGGGCATTTTGATTTTGAGAGCCGAGGGTTGCCTCCATGTTTCAACAGCCGAAATAAGAGGGAAGGAGGTGAAACTGTATTCATTATAATCTGTAAAAAAACAGCCGTATGCTACCTAATCGAAATTATAAAAGGCAATTTGCTACAGACTTTCATATTATCTTCTATGTATGATGGAATACAATGCATGACATTTCCATTGCTCCTTAAACACCGGCCGAGCATTTCTGTACTAGAGGTTACTTATTAAGTATTAAAATATGTGTTGTTACACTTGAAAATTTATATGGAGCAATTACAAATAGGAAGAATTTTGATGTGGTGTCAGAGTAGGTTAGTAGTTCAGTCTTTGTTTTTCTTAAGCTTTTCGATTGTACCGATTCTGTCTGATCTTTTCTTTTGCTGCAGAAAAATTGTACGTAACTGTGACCAATAGATTGCGGAATTCCATGTATACTCATATTTTTATAAGTAAATTAACAGAAGTAGAAGTTATTCTTTAAGTGGACTATTAAGATTGCCCTGTTTAAATTTATTTAGTAGTATGATATTTATATAAAATTTCAAAATGAATATTAAACTGATTAATTAAGATATTATACTTCTAAGTTCATTTTATAAGTTTACTTAAAGAGTAAATAAAATTCCATTTTATTTATAAATAGCTTCGGTAGACTAAAAATAAAATCTTTCATTTTTCAAGCACCAAAAGACAATGATTTGCGACGAGAGCACGTGTGATACAGAGGCTTTGGACACGTTTCTGCACGAGCAGGACGAGAAAGACGATTTTATCAATAACCTGAGACACCTGAAATGCAAACTGATTCGGCTGGTACGCGAGCAGATGCGGGAATCCCAAGAGAGCCAAGTGAAATAATGCGACACGAGAGTGTAATTTTCAATTAATTGTTGAAAGGTTGAAACAGCCCTTTTATTCACCAGCGCACGAGCACTTCTACGGCGGAATCGCATGTAGCATTCCCGTTGGAAAAAAAGAGTCCCAAGTTCTTTTTGTTCAGGAAGGTGAAGTCAGAACCAGACGAGACCAAACTAAGCGTAACGCCGTACGACAGTTCCTCAAGCGAACCAACGGCTAATCAAAACACTTTTGTGCAGCCTTCAGGAAACTCGCGTCGACGCTTACGCAATATAATTCTTCTGATCATTGCCATTCTTGCGATTATGTTTATTATTCATTTATATTTCTTTCGCGGCTACCTCTGTAACAGGGGTCAGCCGTGCGTCATGTCCTTCCGGTACACGCACGCTAAACACACGTTATTTTAACCCTTGTACATTGGTTCTCATCCATTTCCGATTGACAATTATATTTTATTCATAATCATATACTTTAAACAAATCCGTAAAATCACAGCAGAATTAAACAGATGCAGAATTCTGTACAGAATCTGAAAATAGAGAATAGACGAATGTTCATTCGAGGAACGTACGAGGGTTGACTAAAGACATTCATGTTATCGGGCTGCGGATCTTTATGTAAAATTAAATCCGAGGACGTAACAGCATTCGTAAATTCTTTCCATGCTTTGCATGGAAATATATATATTATATATAAATATATATATTATATATATATATATATATATATATATATAATNAAGAGGGAAGGAGGTGAAACTGTATTCATTATAATCTGTAAAAAAACAGCCGTATGCTACCTAATCGAAATTATAAAAGGCAATTTGCTACAGACTTTCATATTATCTTCTATGTATGATGGAATACAATGCATGACATTTCCATTGCTCCTTAAACACCGGCCGAGCATTTCTGTACTAGAGGTTACTTATTAAGTATTAAAATATGTGTTGTTACACTTGAAAATTTATATGGAGCAATTACAAATAGGAAGAATTTTGATGTGGTGTCAGAGTAGGTTAGTAGTTCAGTCTTTGTTTTTCTTAAGCTTTTCGATTGTACCGATTCTGTCTGATCTTTTCTTTTGCTGCAGAAAAATTGTACGTAACTGTGACCAATAGATTGCGGAATTCCATGTATACTCATATTTTTATAAGTAAATTAACAGAAGTAGAAGTTATTCTTTAAGTGGACTATTAAGATTGCCCTGTTTAAATTTATTTAGTAGTATGATATTTATATAAAATTTCAAAATGAATATTAAACTGATTAATTAAGATATTATACTTCTAAGTTCATTTTATAAGTTTACTTAAAGAGTAAATAAAATTCCATTTTATTTATAAATAGCTTCGGTAGACTAAAAATAAAATCTTTCATTTTTCAAGCACCAAAAGACAATGATTTGCGACGAGAGCACGTGTGATACAGAGGCTTTGGACACGTTTCTGCACGAGCAGGACGAGAAAGACGATTTTATCAATAACCTGAGACACCTGAAATGCAAACTGATTCGGCTGGTACGCGAGCAGATGCGGGAATCCCAAGAGAGCCAAGTGAAATAATGCGACACGAGAGTGTAATTTTCAATTAATTGTTGAAAGGTTGAAACAGCCCTTTTATTCACCAGCGCACGAGCACTTCTACGGCGGAATCGCATGTAGCATTCCCGTTGGAAAAAAAGAGTCCCAAGTTCTTTTTGTTCAGGAAGGTGAAGTCAGAACCAGACGAGACCAAACTAAGCGTAACGCCGTACGACAGTTCCTCAAGCGAACCAACGGCTAATCAAAACACTTTTGTGCAGCCTTCAGGAAACTCGCGTCGACGCTTACGCAATATAATTCTTCTGATCATTGCCATTCTTGCGATTATGTTTATTATTCATTTATATTTCTTTCGCGGCTACCTCTGTAACAGGGGTCAGCCGTGCGTCATGTCCTTCCGGTACACGCACGCTAAACACACGTTATTTTAACCCTTGTACATTGGTTCTCATCCATTTCCGATTGACAATTATATTTTATTCATAATCATATACTTTAAACAAATCCGTAAAATCACAGCAGAATTAAACAGATGCAGAATTCTGTACAGAATCTGAAAATAGAGAATAGACGAATGTTCATTCGAGGAACGTACGAGGGTTGACTAAAGACATTCATGTTATCGGGCTGCGGATCTTTATGTAAAATTAAATCCGAGGACGTAACAGCATTCGTAAATTCTTTCCATGCTTTGCATGGAAATATATATATTATATATAAATATATATATTATATATATATATATATATATATATATATAATAAAATATATATATAATAAATTCACTAACTGAATTTTCCTGTAAATATATAAAATCCGCAGTTCGGTCATTATACGGTCGATTATGGTCGCGTCCAAATGGGAAGTTCGACATGCGAAATAAGTGAACGTTCTAAGACTTGACACAAAATATATTAAACTTGGAATAATACACCATGTGTAGCGTTTAGTTAGTATGCAACTAGTCGCCTTGATGATTCCTAGGTCGTTGCCGGTAATCCGTAGCGTTCACCGATCGCGGGATCCGGATAGGACCAGTTGCAGTTCGTTAAGTTCTTCCCGTTCACCTTGCACCGGCGACGATTAACGTACGATTGTTTTTTAGGCTTCGAGATCGGTCCTTCTGATATGTTTGCTCGTGTTTTTTTTTTCATTACGCGTGGCTCACTTTACACGCAACTTTCTGGACCAGGTATAGAGTTGGCGATAATGATCTCCTTCATCAGGGTACGGTCAGTTTTGAAGCTTATGGGCTCCCAGGATTTCGCAGAGAACGGGTTCAACTGCAACCAGAAAATTTGGTGAACGTCACGACATTGTGCACCGGCACCGAAAGCGCTTCGGTGACCTTGGGAGGACTTCGAACATATTCTGCTGCCATCGGCAACCCTACTTGTTTAAGCATTTCTTTTATCTAAACTGTTTAGCGATTGCTAACGAGGTATAGTAAATTCTCTCTAATTCGCGTTCAGATTGCGCACGAAAAGTAGACAATTTAGGCAGAATAAATGCGATTATTCGAGCCTTGCTTCTCGTTTTTATAGTTGTTGACTAATCGGTAACAATGAAAACGAGCCGCAAGGCTCGAATAATATCCGAAAATAATATAACATATAATAACAATGTATTATGACAAATATTTCGACACGCGACAACTTACGCTGCATCTGTTCGTCTGAAGCCCCTGTTTGTGGATGTCGTACGACGCGAATAGGGTGTCCGGTCTCACAGGTAGAAATAGTTGCGGTTCCCGCTTAATCTTCTCCTGGTCTGAAACAACTACCAGCATTAGTCAATATCGGTTGCGCAGCGTGTCACGGCGACGGAGCAGATGTATACCTTGAGGCGACTGGATGATGTCCGGTTGATTGTTGAGCGCGTAATCCGTCACCTGTTTCAACGTGTACTCGACGAAGTAGGTGTGATCGCCGTGTGTAACGTCGAGCATCGAGTTGTTCCTCGAGTCCGGCGGCGTGATTATCGGCTGTTTCATGTACGGCTCGATCAGCACCGGGGAGGTGATGCTCATCGCGCTTCTTCGTCGGTACATCATCAGGAGCACCGAGACCACGGTGACGACGAACGCCATCAAACAGCCGATCAGAAGCAGGATTAGAGGCACCATGCTGATTCCGCTGTCTGGAGACAGAAACGATCGTCTTTGGTCAATGCTTACCGACCTGCTTATCGTTCATTCTTCTGTGCACAGTATTTTATTGTTGACCTCTGTTGTTGTTAAATGTTCGGACTGCAAACGGTCAACGACTTTTCAACTTGGTCCAGTTCTTACAAAGGAGACCCGGTGACGACTGATGCACGCTGATAATGACGACGCTTTGCATAAGTGTTCGTTAGACCTACCTAAGGATTTAACTGCATTCCGTTCGTGTCCTCTTTTGCCTTAACTTTTGCGAAGGTGAGAAAAACATGAGTTCTTCAACAAAATTTCACACTTCGCGGACTCAGAAATGCGATATAACATTCATTCGAACAATTTTTGGCTTGTTGTTTGCGATTTAGAAACTCTTGCGTAGAAGAAGCAGTTCGAATAAGAGGGTTGATTTCTCCCTTAAAATCAAAAAACAGGCGCAAAAAGAAATACGGTTGAATTCTAGGGTACATCTAGGTGCAAAAGTTTTAATCAAAATCGGCGTGCACATCAGACATCGGGGTGCCCTCGACAGTGAAAACTAGGGAGACCTACCAGACTGTCGGAATTACAATCGACGCGAATAGAACGTATTATTGAACGGTAAGGACTAACCTGTGTGCTTCTCAGAGTCCCTCAGCATTATATCTTCGAGCAGACTGACTTCGCTTTTTCCTTTAGCGTTCACGGCGTACGTGACAAGGTAGAAATGGGTGGCTGGAAGCAGGTCCGCCACGGCGATACGAAATAACGGCACGTCCGCAGAAATGCTGGAAGCGTTCACTCGCAGATTTCCCGTGACCACCTCGTAAGCTTCTAATCGGAACTCTTGCCTGAGGCCGCCGTCGTATCCTGGCACGCACTCGACCTCCAGGATCTCGGAACTTTGGTTCAGCGAAGCCTTTATCGTGCAGTTGTTCAGCGGATTCGGTTTCACTGTGTGCGAACAGTACGTTACAAGGTAATCGATCGAACGATACTAAATAGTTTTGTGATCAGACTGCGGATACGATGCCAAGAGGCGATTAATTAATTGCCAATTTCTGAAATATCGCGATATAAGGTGTATGGATCGAAGACTATCGACACATTTTGATCGAACAAGGTACTCGAAAGATCTTGTACATCGAAACAGGCGAATTGATCTATTCATCCAGAAATATTACAAACTGATAGCATCTACTTCGCTGCCTGGACAAATTCATTTAAATATTGGCAAATCAGACACTCGCGGCAGTTTTTCTATTTCCGGAAGAAGTCAATCCTGAAATCGTGGTTTTTCACGGACAGTTTTAATTCGGGCTTAATCGAAGCCAATCTTAATCCTCAGTGAGGTTGGTCTTTTGCTATTTTACGTCACGATCGGCAACGATCCGAACGAATATCCGCAGTCCGCACGGCTGAATCGCAGCCGGCGTTGCTCACCCGCAGGAATGATTTGATAGATGCAAGGCGCCTCCTGTTTCCCGATCATGTTTCTACCCCAACAAGTTAGAGCACCGTAGTCCCTCTCCGACACCGGCGTGTACACCAACTCGCTCATTGTCCCATTATTGCCGTCGAACTTCGCTGGCGCGACCTCGAAGTTCTCTCCGCTGTTATTGAACTCCCAGACGAACTCAACCTCGTTCGGATCTGCGTCCACCTCGCAACGGACTTTCACGGACTCCTCCAGCGAGGCGCCGATCACCGATATCTCTTTCGCTTTGCACACTGGGGCAACTATATTCGTTCGAACAAAGGAGAAACAACTTGAACTCCGTCGCATCGATTTCGGACATCGTCATCTCTAATTCGATCAATTTCCACGATAAAATCGCGAACGCTGTTTCTGCACGTATAGAGCACCGTGTACGTGGTTGCGATTCTGCAGAATTTTGATGCCAGCGTTTGTTCGAAGTGGCAAGTCTTCTCGATTATCGTTGCAATGGAAATTTTCCAAGATTTTTTTTGCTAAAGCTACGAACGCGAACGGAGATCCTCCGCTTGTAATTCGATTTAATTAGTAAAGGAGCGCTTACACTGTACTCGCAAAGTAACCGCAGGACTCGTCGTCTCTCCGCGAACATTGCTTGCGCGACAAGTATAGTTGCCCGCATTGTCTCTGCCGATCTTCTGCAGCACCAAGCTCTGAGTGCTCATGATTATTCCGGCCGAGTTGTTTTGCGTCAACTCGCCGTCCTACGAATAATTAATTAACCGAATTAAACCGTATGCCCTTTTAATTCGCTACTTGCTCACTGGAACCGCGTGTGCTTGCTCACGTTATGCCTCCATGTGATCTTATGGTGTTGCGGGTTGGCCCAGATCTTGCACTCGAAGTAGACGTCGTCCCCCTCTTTGATCTTCTCCGCGTTCAGCGTGTTGCCCAGGTGTAATTGTACTTTCGGTGGAACTAAGCATCGGATACAGTTAGAACGATCTTCCGATCACGTGCTAGCTCGAGGACACGCTGTGCCGTCATTAGACCGCGGATTTTATGCATTTATGGCAAAAACGTGTGTAGCTGAAATATGAAATTTGCGAAGTCGTAACAAGAATTTAGCGATACAGTCACAAGCGTTTTCGCTTTATCCAAATGATTCGAGGAAACAATTTGCTTCTGTTTAGTTTCTGTTTCTCACGACCGTCTTGGACGATTTTTATTCGTATGAAACTGTTCCACCGTCGCAATTGAAGAGCTTCCAAAACTCTCTGTTCGATGATCGATGAACGTAAACAAGTGTGGATATTGCTATTGTCTTCGTATTTCGTCGCTGCGTCTTTGATTGTAGGTAATTATTGTTTTATTGAATTATTTCACGTGAATTTACACGAAGTATTTTAAATTTGAGTATCAATACCAGTTAATCGAGTATTATTATACCATTGAGTATTAATACCATTAAAGTATCAATACTGAAACTAATAAAAGGATTAAACAATATACAAACAATACAAATAATTAATACAAAAATTAATTAATACAAAGAGGTTTTAACAATATGCAAACGAAAATAAATGATTCGAACGTATCCAGCCGTGGTTGCCATAAATGCTGAAAGATGTCCGCCGTCCAAAGGTCGATAACAGCACGGTATACCCTCGAGTTAGCAAAAGATATTGAAAATTCCGAACAAACGTTTCAAATCGATACGTTAAACGCGACCGTTTCGAAGATCGTTCGCAGCTCTATTAGAAACGGTCAAATCAAACCGAAGCGTTCTACTTCCCTCTGTCGACAATTTCCATACATTAATACCGAGGCGAACGCGATATTAATTAATAGCACTCACAAGCTACGTTTAATTGAAAGAAGTCTTCTAAGTACGCGTCGGTTAGTGCCGGGTTCTCCCCCCGGCATTTCAGGATCTTCCCGTGGTCGTCCGGGACCGGCGAGAATTCCAACGTGCTTTGGACCACCGAGATGTTACCGCCGTCGAGTACCTGCGTGGGCAGAGAGTTATTTAAGGATGTCGAGAAATAGTCCAGGATCTCTCTGAACCTCGTCGTGTGCTATTTACTTTGCCGTTCTGGTAAACGTTGTCTCCCTCCAACCACGTGATTCGAGCTCGAGGATGCGATCCGGTGGTCTCGCAGGCGATCGAGTAGTTCTTATTTGTTTCGAGGATCGCCGGCTTCGACAGGATCTTCACCGACAATGGCTTCACTGAAATCGTCAATCTTTTAGTAAAGATTTCTCTTTCATTCGCAGAAGAACAGGCAGACGATCTTTTAACACGTTAAGCGTCGAGAATCGATCTCAGAAGGTCCCGCAAAATCGAAGTAATTTAATTAACACTTAACCACTATAGCTGGTCTATGAGATCGTTACCGATAATTACTTAATCATTCTTACTTGTGATTACTTATTCATTCTTATTCATAATTCTTAGTCATTCTTATTCATATAATGCTTATTCATAATTCTTAATCATAGTTCTTATTCATAATACTTAGTCATAATTCTTATTCATAATTCTATGAAAAATTGTAAAGAAAGGAACGCTTTTAATAGCTTGTACCCCTTCGTTATTCATGTGCGAAGTAAGAACAGTTGATTTTGATTTTTCACTCGACACTTTTATGCCGATAATAACGCAATGAACGTAAACAAAATTTACGAGAACGCTAATAGCGGTTACGTAATTTGTAATAGTATAGCAGTTAAGGGTTAATGAAACTACAGAGTTGAAATTTATCATAGTGGCCAGTATTTTGACTGTTTCGCGCATTTTGAATATTCTAGTAAAATTCAGTTCGTTCAAATGTTTTGCAGTCGAAATGAATTTCGAGAACTGGTGGAAAATTAAAGTTACCCGTATGTGACCAACATATGAGCCGTTTATTTTTAAAGTGGCATAATAATAAGTGGCATAATGTTTATACGAAATTATTTATAGTGAGAAAAATATCAGTATTCTGAGATGACAAATACAAGTAAGTTAGCGTCCATATTTTTAAACGGTGTTAAAACGCAAACCCATAAATATATCGACTTAAAAACAAAGCGACTTGTGCCACTTTCAAAATAAACGGCTCAAATGTATTTCAATGTAAATTCTTCCTAATTGGCGCTCAGCTTGTACACAAAGATGGACAAATTCGGAAGAGGAGATACGATTACTCGAGCCTTGCGGCTCGCTTTTATAGTTATCGATTATCAACAACTATAAAAACGAGCCGCAAGACTGGAAAAATTGTACCTCCTCTTTCCAAATGGTCCATTCTTGTTTCCAAGTTGAGCGTCAATTAGAGAGAATTTATTGTATAGTAAATTAATAATAAAATAAATAAATAATAAAAAAGTAGAGGAGATACGATTATTCGAGCGTTGCGGCTCGTTTTTATAGTTATTGATAATCGATAACTATAAAAACGAGCCAGAACGCTCGAATAATCGTATTCCCTCTTCTCAAGTTGTCCATTTTGATTTACAAGCTGAGGGACAATTGGGGAGAACTTACCGTACAAGAATCAATTTACTCGGACTATTCGGACATTATAACGTGCGATTGAATTAGAAAATTTATTCATCGATTTCTCGCGGAAATATCTTAGTAATTTCAACGATTTTAAAAGAACAATCGTGAAACCGGCCATTTTGATCGATACGACACGACTCATATGGGCAATAGTGACGTAGGCTTAGCCTAGGAATTATCGCGTTAACTTCGGCAATGCATTTGGAGCCTGAAAGGGTCCTTTCTCTTTGTCTTTAGTATTCAAAGGTTTTCCGCACTTACGAAGGACTTCCAAGAGGACCGTTTTTTCCAACGGAGGTATAAGATTCGTGTTCGAAGCCCTGCATTTGTACGTGGTGTTCCTGTGCTCCCTCCTCAGCTGGGGTATCCTCAACTTGCTGACCACTATGTTCCCTTCGGTTTCCTCTGAGATGCTGTCCACTTCCTTCTCGTTGACCAGCCAGCTGACCACCGGCGTCGGTTTGCCTGAACACGCGAGAAAACTATTCACAAAAGTCTCCCAGCGAAATATCATTCGTCGCGGATCTAGTGAATCATTAACGCTAAACCTACCGAGCATTAACCCTTTGCGCTCGAGCGGCGACTCTGAGGCGACGCTAAAAATTGCTACACTATTTTCAAAAGAATTTCCACGTTATTAAAATTTTGATACATCGTCAAATAATAGAAGCAATAACTTACAGTGTAAGTAAATATATATATAATAACTTATAGTACATATAAGTAAATAAATAAATAAATAAATAAATAAATAAATATAGAATAACTTATAGAGTATAAGTAAATAGCTTATACTACTTTTATTTAAATTCCATTTCATATGTATTAAATAAAAACAATCATAGCAAATGGAAATACTGTAGGTCTTCATTCTCGCGTTAAAATAGTCTCGAGTGCAAAGGGTTAAAAGCGATGAATATGCGTTGCTCAGTAAGAATGCCAAGACTGAATTTATTTAAACTTTCCACCGTTTCGATTGCAATGACTTCTTCGATTAAGAAATTGATTCGATTATTTCCCATGAAAGAGCCTTCACAGTTGCAGCAACTTTAAAGTACAAAACGTGAAACTGGTCGTTCTGACTGGCTTCGTAGATTCAGCTTTAAGAAAGAGCACGATTCCGATCTTCCCATCGCGAAGAAATTCGCGAATCGCGGTAAAGAATGATTGAAAGAGTTCGAGTCGGGTTGCCGCGACAGAAGCTTCCCGACGGTAAAAAGATCCCGAGAAGATAGTTGAAAACCGAGTTCCAAAGTAGCCTCTCCTTATCCGTACGGGACCGAGGAAAAAAAAAAGGTTGATAGATCACCTCCTCTGACTTCGCAGGACAGTTTGAACTCGACGCCGACTTGCGACGGTCCCACGGTGTTCTCCACCACCGCCCCGGAGCTGTTGTAAATTAGAAGCTGGTGCGGCGGAACTGCAAACCAATACGAGACGAATGAAACACGTCGATTCCCCGTCCCGGCTCGATCTTAGGATAAACGATCGCCCTTTAAAAGGTATACAAAGCGGAGAGAAGGGAAAAGTTCCGATACCGATCACAGTGAGATTCACTTGATAGTTCTTCGTCGGCGAGTTCTTGAAGTCCACCCGGCATCGGTAGATCCCTTCGTCATCCAGCTGGACCGCTTTCAGGGAAAGGGTGGCCGGCTTCGTGACGGTCATGAAGTACGCCCTCGGCCCGACCACGGTGCTGTTCGACCAGTTCAGGGCTTCGTTGAACGCCCTTCCCCGCACGTCGAAGCTGGAAACCAGCGGACCTTTTCAATGTTCGCCGGCCGCGGACCGACGCCGTGTGCTCCCGATTTTTTTTACCTGTAGATCGGTTTCACCGCGTCATCGCGGAACCAAAGCACCATGTATACGCGATCCTCTCGCGTGGACGGCTTAATGTCACAAGGCAAACTAGCGGTACTCCCCAGAACGGCACTGACTTCGAATGTTGCGACTGGAACAACGAAATTCATGATCACGGGAAGTGAACGAATTTGTTCACGGTGAACCGTGCGATCTGGTTCTGCGAAACTTTCTGAACTTATTTATTAGTGTCCGAGTTACGTTCATGAATTTTGAGACGTTCTCGTCGTGAATATTGCGGCGGGGTAGTTATTCGCCGAAGCAAGCGTATAACCCTTTGCGATGGTACTTTCGCGACGGGCCTGAATCAACGGCAGAATTCCGACGTCTCCATTGTTTCTCGGAATAATCATTCGAACGCGAAAAATATTATAACTCGATCGTCCGTGCAGCATCTCGTGCGGGTTCACATTTCCACGCGCAGAAACGGAAATCATTCGCAGCCAGTTCCATTTGTTTCATAATTAGTTTAGCCGAATCGAAAATAAAACGCAGCAGTATTACGTTCCATTGGATTAAACGAAAAATATTACGTTTCGCTCGGGGTTGAATAATCGTTAAACAGAAGGGCTTCCGCGATTTCGATAACTGAAATGGAAATATCTGACATGGTTTGCTTTGGCTCGCCGCCGGCCGGAGTTCCACCGTCAAAATGCATTTCGATCGTCCGGCTGCCGGCCGATACAACTATGTCGCTGTCTATTTAAGTAGATGTTGCATGTGCTTGGTCGGACAATGTCCCAGTATTTCCGCGATCGCGCACTCGCAGGAATCTGGCCAGCGAATATATCCGTGGAATATTTAGAATTTGCTCTCCGAACGTTCTTCGATTGCTAATTATCCGCTGACCCACATAGGCTCGCAGTTATTTAAGTGGTTGGTTCGTGTGGTTCGGTCGGACACGTGTACACAAGACTGGTCGCCTTACCCCCTTCCCCGATCCCATAAAATATCAAGATCGCATGCAGAAACGTCGATCCGTTTTTAGCGCTACGAATCCGAGAAGAGTTCGGTCGGGTGTCTGACCAATGCGTGCACAAGCTACTTACGGGGGCCGATGTGTGCGTCGACGTTAGTTCTACGGGGCTCTCTGCTTCGTGCAGGCCCGTATCTATCCAAGTGGAAAGGGCGTAATCATTTGTCAGGCACGTATGTGATCATCAGGAACACGAAATACTTAACAACAAACGATTAATTCCCCTCGACCCGGCTAGCATCCGCGTTCCCCTCGGTAGATAAGGTCTGCCGTTGCTCAGACCGACGTACAGGCACGCTAAGCGACGGTTCGAACATTAGTTTCTATTACGCATTGTTTGCATTCCGTTCGACCGATCGCATTTCGCCGTTCGACGCACCTGCGCCCGATCAGCACCGATCGAATCTACTTGAGAACGATGTTCCATAATTTTATATCTTTGTTTACTCGAGAAGACGTATTTAGCGCTCGTCACACGTAGATCATTGTTATTCGATAAACGTTAGACAGATTTTGCACGAAATATAGCTTAACGTAAATAGATCTGGCGGATCTGTATTTCATCATGTCAAAGGGTTGAACCCGTTTATAAGTAAATAAAAAGAAAAGAAAAGAAACGATTTTATTTTCGTACTGATTTATGTGGAAATTAATATGCGGGACTAAGAGCAGTCAAATAAGAATTGGTATAATTTATAGTCAGTAGAAAAGAGTCGAAGATAAATTCATAGCCAATTAATATCGTTAACAGCATTTCAATTTAGTCCACATTTTTTCTGCTGCTATTTTTTATTAACGCGTAAGACACTTTTACTAAGTATGCAGTTTCTTTCGCTTTCCAGAAGTTTGCACACGCGTATACGCTTCGAATACGCGCAGAGTCTGATAATCGCACGCTGCCCTACGGAATATTTTCAACTTATGCCAGCAAAGTTAACCTTTAGTCAGACACCCCTCGCAGGCAAGTTGGTCAATAATTGCTTCGTCTTTGCTATTTGCAGAGCACTGACGTCACGTCAAGCGTGCAGTTTTTTTCTCAGTCCGACACGTGTCCGACCAGCGCCTTTGAATTTCCTAAAGAAGAAATGTCCTCGCAATACGGAGTTGGTGAGAAATCGTGGCACAATCGACCAGGGGACGATTCTGCATGGAGAAATAAATCGAGAGAAACAGTAACATTTTTTTTAAATTTAAAATTACGTTTTCGAGGAGAACAAGTTGAAAGATTCGTCTGATTTGTATGGCTCGTAGTACGACGAGAAGTCGAATTGGTATGCGATGACCAGACGTGTCGCTTGATTTCTATGCAATAGCATTATTTTGTCAACCCATTTCTCCTCGAAAACGGAGCCTTAAAGGAAGAAAATGTATTCCTTTTTCTCGATTTATTTTTGCATGTTCTATCACGATTTTTCAGCCACCCTGTATACGTATAATAGCATAAGTTCGGTTACCGAAAAAGAAAAACACGCGAACGACGCAATCGCCACAATCGCATATACCGTTCATTGCAATAGACAAGGTTTGCTTTCGGTTAGAAAGTTACTCGACAATTAGCGCTCCCTTTATATTTACATGCCGATTGCTCGACCTATTACGAAAATGTACTTCGCTCTCGGACACGTGTCCGAGCACTGTCCCCTGAATCTACAAGAGAAATACTTTGCAATCGGAGCGCACACTCGTTTAACTCCCCCAAAAAAGCAGGTTATCCGATCAGCATAAGTGGAGCAATCGTGCTATCGACGGAAGTAGAGCAGGCCCGCCGTTGATCAGACAACGGTCGCAGGGAAGCTACTCAATAATTAGCGGTCCCCTCTCTACAGGGTGGCCGAAAAATCGTGGCACAATCGGCCACGGGACGATTCTGCATGCCAAAAATAAGTCGAAGAAATGGAAACTAGATTACAGAAAAATAATACCATCGTCACAGGAATCGAATACTATCGTCACTTATGTTTCGAAAACGCAGTCTCGAATGAAAAATAACGTTATACTCTTTCCATCGACTTATTTCTCCGCGTAGGATCTGGCCGGTCGGGCAACGATCTTTCACCCACCGACGTATTCGCGTCCGGGTTGTCCGAGCGTGGTGTTCGCCGAGACACGTGTCTGACCATGGCGTATACAAGCTACCTAGGCAGGGAGTTTGTTTCGCGTGTGTGCCAGAGGGGATCATCTATCCGGGACCAACGTACCCAAGTCATCGTCCTTGCCCCAGTTGCCGGTGGCGTTCACGTAGACGACCACGGCGAGTATGTACCCGCTGATGACGAGCTTGATCGCGACCCCGGCGAGCGCCCCAATTGCCATCCCAAAGGGGGATGGTCTGAGGGGTGAGTTCGTTCCGTTCAAATCCACTGCTTGCATAATGTCGCCCCGCGCCGGCCTGTCCTGTGGCTCTCCTTTATTATCATTCCACGTCAAGAGGTAGACGTCCTCCTTCTCCTCTTCCTCCTCCACCGCCGCCTCCGCCACCTCCTCCCGCCGCTTCCTCGTGCGATGTCCTCTGTAGGATACCCCCGTGCGAGGGGCAAGGGAAAGGGCGCAGGACACGCTCACCGATTAATCCGGCGCAGAAAGAACCTTTCGAGCGAACCGTTGCCCGCTTCCTCCCGATCCTGCATCGAGGATCCCGTTTCGGAGGACCGATCCGCGGACGATGCGTTCGCGAACCGACCTTCGGCCGAATCAATTCGATCCCCTTTCTCTCGTCCGCCTAGCCTGGCGATGCTGCTGCTGCTACTGCTGCTGCTCTGAGCTCTTGCCGCCGTGTGCTGCTGGCCGAGAGCGTGCGTTCGCACGATTTCGATTTATTCTACTTACGGAGAGAAAACGCGGTTGCCCGAGGGGAAGGTTCCGAGAGCAACTGGGTCATGTGCAGTCTCTCCTATTTCGATTATTGTCGAACGCCGAGTGCCGTTCCTTAATGGCGATCGCGGGCAGGACACGGTTAGGGGTGCTTCCTCGTGCTCCGCGAGGACGTCCGCCGCGAGGGCCGCCTTCTTCCAGGATGATTTTCACTTTCCGTGGTAGCCCCCGTCGGACCTCACGACCATCCGAGTCCAGTCAAAGGTCGGTCCGGCACTCGCGCACCCACGCACACCGTCTCCGACGAGGAAAACCCGCTCACTCGATCACCTTCTCGCGACCGCCGCACCACCAACGAGAGCCTGCTACGCTCGAGCCGGGGCAAGGAGGAACGTTCCTGTGCTTCGGGGGACACCAGGCCACCCTCGACATTTGGAGGAGTGAGAGAGAGAGAGAGAGAAAGAGAGAGAGAGGAGTAACCGCGACGGAGAGAAAGGGGAATAGAGAGACAGAGAGAGAGAGGCCCCGAGAGAGGGTGAGAGACCGGCCGTCGGCGGTCGTTTCTGCCGTGGAACCGCGCTCCCGAATGGACACACGCTGGTTTGCAGGCGTCGCTAACCCGACGACGATGAGCGCCGATCGATTTTCGTAAAGTCAGTCTGATCTCGGTTCGTGTTTCGACGCTCTCGATTCCCGCACAATATATAGCCCCCGCGCGGCGGCGAGAGCGTGCTCGGCGCAACGCACACACGCGACCACCCGCGAACTGCGACGAACCTTCACGACGACGAACCGTTCGCTCGCCTCCCAACACCCCCCCTCGGGCCTCGCCGTTTCTCCCTCTTTACGCCCCCGCGCGCAGCCCGTCCTTCTCTCGGGTCCCGATCCTCCCCGTTACACGCACCCCGCGCCGTTCCGCTCGGCGCAGCTCGCCGCTCCGCTATTCACTGTTAGGGGTCGCGAGACGCGAACTATTAAACTATCTTCCAAACGGGGGGTGAAAATCCTCTTTGACCCGACGATGACGGTCTACCAGACGATCCACGAGAATCGAGCACCGGTCCCTCGCGTTTCTTTTCGTCGAGGAGAGCGGACTTTTGCCACCCTCTCGGCGGTTTTTCGGAACACGACGGGCAGAAACGCTACGGTTCGCGGTTACGGACGTGTTTTAACCTTCTTCTGCTCTTTGTTGTTCGATTCCGGAGACGCTGCTCCTCGAAACGACCCATTTACGACATCTTTTCGCACGGCTTCGGGCGAACCTGACTTCGGGGGGTGGCTTCTTCGCGAATGGGAGAAACGCGTGTTCGCGGAATTTTTGTCGATCGTCGCCGGAGATGTTAATTGATCTGCTCGCGAATTTGACGGAGGTTGTTTTCGGAATTCCGGATATGAAAAGTTAGCTCTGACACGCAGGTGGACGTGCTTAACCTTCGTCTCTACCCTGTTCGCTCCTAACGCTGGAACTACTAGACGAGCCGGGGTGACCTATTTCGAGTTTTTTGTTTTGCTGTTTGTAAATTCGCGAGGGTGCTTCCACGGGGAAACTGTTAAACTGTTAAACGAGTTTCGGTCGTCTCTCTCTCTCCCTCTCTCTCTCTGTTTTCGCGGATGCAGACGTGATTAATACTATTTAATATAGAACGCCCGATCAACTTGTCTTCTTCTAAATCTGTATTACTTTCGGTTAAGAGGGCTCAAATATTTATTGCTCGTCTTACGTACCTTTCAAAGTTGTTTGCTTTCAATAATTCAGGCCACGTTACACGGAACGTATATACGTAGATTTTCCATCGGAGGGTTCGTTGAGCGAAATTTATTTTTAATGTATCGAATTCTTAATTTATCGGTAGTGTCACTTGAAAAAGCTGATCACGTGTTTGTTATTAAGAAGTGTTCGATAGTATGCACCGTACACAAATGAATTTGGCAAACGCCTAGAACTACCGAGTCGTAAACGCGAGTATGTATATTGTTTTATGACAATAAATGAATTTATTTAAACTTCGTATGATTTGTATTATAATAATATACTTCAACAAAGAAGCGTACTTAAAAATTTCTTCTAGAAATATTTTTATAATATCAGGTACTGCAAAAAATGAAATCAGAAAACAGTCATTTCTAGTGTCAACGATTCTTTCACAAAGTGCATAAAGCAGCTTTGTAATTTCAGTGAGTACAGAATAAATAATCTAAAATAAATCGTTACGCTTAAAAGCGCTAGCCGATTAAGATGGTCAAAATTGCCCTTAGAGGTTTTTTTTAATGAGTATTATACCGTTCGATAGCTGACCAAGAAAAACTAATCTGTGCAAAATTTCAGCCCTGTAACTTGCCCGTGAGGGTAGTTACAGGGTAAATTATATTTGGCCGCTTTTTCGACCGTTTCCCCAGATTGGTGACATTTTAGAATTTTGAAACAAATGTGGCTTATTTCGGGCACCAAGCCGCATATTACAGAATTTATTCAGACTTTTCGGTTGCAAGCTGTGGTTATCAAAAATGGAAAACCAAAAAAGAAAAATCGGAAAATTGAAGATATCTCGAAAACAAGAATACAAGAATACTGAAATTAATTCCCTGATAAGGTACTATCACAAGCACTGCGCTTAATTTTTCTCAGATTTTTCGTAAAACTGCGAAATCGTCAAAAAAGAAAAAAGTGAACAAGAAAGTTACTACTTGTTGGGTTTGCCGCAAATATAGGTTAAGTCATTTTAAACGTTATCACATTGAAGGAAGCAATCTTTTAACTTAGAAAATGCGACCCTCACAGATGAGTTGAGATCGACCCTCACTATCGAACGGTATAATATTCGTTAAAAAATCCTCTGAGGGCAATTTTGACCATCTCAATGGGCAACCGCCCTTCGCGTGAACATTAACAAGTCCGTGGTGATTTTAGCCGAACGATTTGACGATTTCCGTAGCGAAGGATATCGATGGAAAATCGAAGGGCGGCTCGCGGTTAATAATTGTTACAAGGATAGCGAAATAATTATCGGATCCGTTCAATGGACAGAGTATATATCCGACTCTTTACGGCAGAGTCTAAGGCACGGGAGCAGCTCGAATCTCCCAAAGAATATTGTCCTGGAGTCACGCCAATAAACTTTCTCTATTGTGGAAATACCGAGTGTGATTCTAGTCGATAATTTTCCGTAGCCGAACGGTCGCGGTGCAACGTATACACAGCGTTCCAGCAATAGTTGGGCTCCGGGGCCGTGTTCTACTCACCCTGAAGATAAAACGAAGTGTCACATTCAATCTCCGTAAACAATGAACGCCTGTGTGCCGAAAGGGGTGAAAAAAGGTGTCCAGACTCGCGTGTACACTCGGCCTATTCATTCGCACGTCACCGTGCCCGTACTCTCAAAACACGTCTATTTCAGGAACACCCCGTAGAGAGTCCCTCATCAGGGGCCGTGTGTGCGGCTAAAGTGACAAACTCTCTCCTGTTATTAAACGGACACTGTATTTCAAACAGCGATATTTCCAGTTTTTATCGCGCGAATCGTTTCGCTGAAATGGCCTGCTTTCTCGACGAATCGACTACCGTTAATGATAACACTTACGCTTGCCTTTCTTTGATTAAACACCGTATTTTTTTTTTAGAAACATTTGCTTATTCATTTGCAACGGATTCTAAATTTTTGCAAAGGTCGAGAGGAAATATCAGAGGCGAGATGCGGAAATTTCTCCCTAATTCGCGCTCAGATTGCGCACCAATAATGGACAATTTGGGGAGAGAAAATACGATTATTCGAGTTAAGCGGCTCGGTTTTTATAGTCACCGATTGCCAACAACTCTAAAAAACGAGCCGCAAGGCTCGAATAATCGTATCCACTCTTCTCAGATTGTCCATTTTTGTGATTTCCGATTTTCTACTGTAACGATAGATGTATCTTTTTGTTAAATAACTCTCAACTGTTGGTTTTCAATTTTGAAAGAACTATTAGAGAATCGTCGGTAATTGTTCATTGAGTGGGATTTCTGACGATCTTCGATTTTGACGAAGCCGGAACAGTGGCCCAGAAGCAACTTATGCTTGCAGCCACTCTAGATAGAAAGCGTCTCTTAAAAATCAACTTCTGACGACAACAATGACTCTACACTTGGAATTGTAATCTTTCGAGAGACAGAATATCTACGAATGAATATTCACGTTGATCTGCTGTATCTTCCTAATTTCATTAGGTTGTCAAAGCATATTCCATGCGACTCAACTGTTCAATTTCAATTTTATTAAATGTATTACTTTAATTTCATGAAATGTTCCAGGATCTCAGCGTGGCAGTCAAGGTTTTGATCCTTTGCACTCCGATGTCGCTGATACGGCAACATTAAATTATTATCTTTCTAAAGTAATCATGTAAAATACGTAAATAAAAACGCAAAATCGTTAATTTATTAATTCCTACAAAACTCCACAACAGTATAACGATTTTTATTTCGATACAACTTTGCATAGCAGAATCACAATTTTTGCAATACTTGCTCCGAGTTGCTGGTAAATATGTACCTATTATCAGAAAAAATTTATATCTATTATATTATATTATATATATATAAAAATTTATATTATATTTATATAATATAATATAATACATATAAATTTTTTCTGATATATATATATATATATATCAAAAAAAAAACGTTCTGATATATATATATATATATTATATATTATATATCATATACCTATTATCAGAACGTTTCAACCCGTGTCCCAGGGTGTGGCCAAAGTGACAAACTCTCTCCTGTTAATAATGACAGTATATTTGAAATAGTAATGTTTACAACATACAATTGCGACGTTACTACAGTATTTATTTATTCATTTTTTTGTCTTATTTTTTGTTTAAGGTAATTGATAATGTCTCGCAAAGGTCACACTCATCACACCGCGTTCGATCCATCCTCGGCCAAGTCTCACAAATCTTTTTCACATTTTCTCTCTCTCTCGCGCGCATGTACACTCTCTCTCACACACATACACACACACACTCTCGTCTCACTTTCAAAAACTAAACGGGAAATGCACGGATCTCTCGCGAGCCGGGACCACGTCTAATCGCATTACTAACATGTCGAAAAATAAACAATGGCGAAAAATGTACAGTTTAACGGATGTCCGGAGTTTCTCTCCCCCTCCCTCTCTCTCTCTTTCTCTCTTTCTGTCTGTATGATGGGTTGTTGGTTGAAGGGGCAAAGGGGGTAGTTTATAACCGAGCAACAGGACCGGGAAATAAATTTCATAGAATCGATATTGTCATGTTGGTGTCTGTAAGTTCTAAAACATTGTTCGTGATGGGCGAAACCGGGCCCACCGGAAATCTCGGGCCCCATGGACTCCGAGAATCTCTCTTTCTTTCTTTCTCTCTCTCTCTCTCTCTCTCTTTCATTCTCTCACTCGTGTCCTCTAGCCGATCATTATGCTTCGACTCATTTTCTGCATTTTCACTCTTTTTCTCGCTCTCTCTCTCTCTTTTTCGCTCTCTCTTTCGCGTGTGCGTTCCACGTGAACAATGAGCGACGAGAACGCGACTCAGCCGTCATCGTCGAACCACGCGCCGACCCAATTCTCTTCTTTCGTTTCGCATTTTTTTTCTCTCTCTCTCTCTCTCTCTCTCTCGCTCGCGCTCTCTCTCTCTCTCTCCTCCTCTGTTTTTCTTGTTTGTCAACACGATTTTTCCTTCTCCCGTTTCCGTCGACGTCTAGCGACGGCTACGCGTCCCTNATATATATATATATATATCAAAAAAAAAACGT